AAAGAAGAGAGACAGATGAGTCAAGTAAAAAAAAGGTGACAAAGGACAAACACAAGCCATAGGGGCAAGACTTTCTTGGAATATGGACACAATACAAGGACATGTAAGAAAAACAAACAACTAACAGATGTTAAAGGTGAGTTGCCAAGAGATGTTGCACCCACCCAAGGAATCCAAACACAAAATGTGGCTACTGCAGGATCCAAGAAAAGGGTTAGTAACTCAAACTCAACAAAAAACTTTACATTAGAAAATCATATATAATTTTCAATGACTTGTTACAATTATGTTGGTTGTAGGTTGGGCAAAAAGGTACAACTAAAAAAGGAGGCACATCTAAGAAATCAAAGGCTACTGTAGGAAATATTAGTCAGGTTACTGCAGGAAATGAGGCTCAAGAACCAACTGCAAGAAATGTGAGTCAGACTACTCAACCTGAAGAATACCATGCACCAACTGATGTGACACCTACTCAACCTGGGATACACCTTTCACAAACTTCTGTTACCTCATCTGAGACAATGAGAATATATTGTGGTATAGATCCTGGTGAATTAGAGGAATTGTTGAATGATAATGACATATTAGATATTGCACCATTAAGAATTGATACTAGTCCTGCAAAGAATAATATGCCTGGTCCCAAAACCTTTATTGGTAAATATCCTAAGGTATCAAAACCTGCTAAACTTTCTGTCAACCCAACTATGAGTGAGCCTGTAAGTTTGTAACTTGTTCTAATAGACTTATTTGGCATGTTATGTTTTTTTACCTTGATAACTCTATGTTGCTATAACAGGTGAAAATAATGATATCACCAAAGAAAAAGTCAAAAATTGTTGCATCTCCAAGTAGAAAGAGTGACAGACTTAGGACTTTGAAGACAAAGAATATAGATGGGCCTAGAAGGGATCCAAATGATCCATTTGTAATAACTGAAGAAGACTCAACTATTGGCAGTGTTAGGGGACAGAAAAAATGGGATGACATCCAAAAGAGCATGACTCAGTGAAAACTTAAGAGTGACACAAATGTGTTTTAGTTAAACCTTATGTCTTATGAACCTAGTATTTTGTTATGTAGTATGAAACAAATGTATGTTGTATTATGAACTAAGTGTTTTTCTATTCACTTTGTAATGTGCTTCGTTATGCACTTTGAACCTTTTACGTATTTTATACTCATGTCTCTGTATGCGCTTTGTAATGTACTTTGTTATGCACTTATGTCTCAATATGTATTTTGTACCCATGTCTCAGTATGTGCTTTGTTATGCACTTAACAGACAAATTACAAGTTTTTTATACCAAATATTGCAAATTATGTCAACTTAATCATAACAAACAATATTGATAACAATTCAGCAACTAAAATTGATAACAATTCATCAACTACAATCAAGTACATTTATCAAGTACGTTGAAGCAAGACCTACAATCACAGTACATTCTCATTACATTAAATAATTCAACAACTACAATTGATAAAAAAATACACATTTATCATAAATGACACAACAAGACACAATATCTTCAATCTCCTGTGAAATTTCTTAGTTTTCAATTTGGTCTTCAAGTTCTTGTTCTTCTTCCTTGAATCTTCATACAAGGACTTCATATATCCCACAAATGTCATGTCTTCCAACTCTTAGTTCCTAATGGTAACATCCTTATTTCCAGATTTTACACCAAGATCTTCATCACATATGAATAGATTACATGTATCAGAACTCTGCCAATAAGGACATCTCCAAAGCAACCTATCCTTATTTGGTTCATTCTTGCAATAATGAGATACCATCTGAACCTGACATCCACAAAACTTCTCAACTCGCGATTTCACTGAAGCAGAAGACATTATGTTATGGAGTTGAAGGAGGATGGAGATGAAAGAAGAAAGAAGATGAACCACTGAACCAACTCTGCTGCTGCGGATTTTCACGAAGAAGAATGTGAACAAAGAGGAAAGGAAAGGAATTAGGTCAAATAGCATGTGATTCATCTTTAATAAGGGGTCAGTATACACACTGTATTTTATGGAAATATATAAAACAAGTTATTTAATCCATTTGTCTTGCCACATAGGAAGCCGTTATTGAATTTTGACGTTGGAGATCAATTATCCAGACAGAAAATTTTTAACAAACCAATTCTTGAAGGAAAATATTTGAGGGACTAAAAACGAATTTTAAAATATTTAAAAAAACCAAAAACTTACTTAACCCAAAAAATATTGTTAAAAATATCTAGTTTAATTATACATTTAATTATTTTTCTTAACTAAATATTTAGTTAGTAGTGTATATTTTTATTAAATGTTTTCATAATATTAAAATTTATTGAAACCAATAATAATATATTTTTATAATTTTAATTTTAAAATTTTACATGTTTTTTTTTTTTGGAAAAAAAATTGTTATCTTTTTTAATATTATAAATTTATGATAACCGTTACCCCACACTTTAAATATTCCGAGTCCATTCCGACTGATGTATGTGAAACTTATATATAATGAATTGTTAAAACCGTTTCTGATTAATCTGACACATTGTGCATATTATTGTTTGATTATATTTGACAAACAGAGGCGTAAAGAGAATATATATACTAGTACATCTCTTTTGCATATGCAGCCAAAAAAATATCATAGATGAATAATTCAATAAATTGACACTGCAGTTGAGAAATTTCATAGGTTAATGCAACGGTGACTATTGATTTCTCTATCATCCTTCAATGAATATTTAGTTGAGTAATTGCTCTAACTATTAGAGAGGAGTCTTTGACTCTATTTCACACAGTAATCAAGATAAGAGAGAAAATAGAAAGATAAGGTGTAAGTAAACCATTGATTAACAGATAAAATACATAAGGGAGTATTTATACAAAATAAAAGAAAAATACAGTGCAGTTAAACTTAGTTCTAATTGTCTAACTAACTCATCCACTCAAGGGAACTAAGCTAAGTCTTTTCTCTAATAGCTCTCCTCAAACTGAAGAAAGTTGTTATGGAGAAACAACCTTAAGTTTGCCTTTCAATTCTTGAAAAATTGTTGTACTAAGAGGTTTTGTGAGGGTTTCAGCTAGTTGTGCAAATGTAGGCACATGTTTGATTAGTATTTGATGAGCTACTACATGTTCCCTCACAAAATGTATGTTCAATTCTATTGTTTCGTTCTAGCATGTAGCACAGGGTTATGAGAAAGCAGCACAACACTTAGATTATCACAGAGTAATGTTGGTGTGTGAAATGGAATGTGCAGTTCAAGCAATAAGGATTCTAGCCATAGAAGCTCTGAGGTAGTGTGTGCTAGAGCCATGTATTCAGCTTCAGTGTTAGATCTAGCAACCAAAGACTGCTTTTTAGAGCTCTAAGAGACCAAGTTAGGGCCAAAGAATATACACGAACCTGAGGTTGATTGCCTATCATCAGGATCACTGGCCCAATCTGAGTCACTGTAGGCATGAAGAGAGAAGTTTGGAGCTGAGGCAGATGGCGACAATATAAAAATGTGACTTACTATACCACTCAAGTATCTGAGCATCCTTCTAACAGCTTCCCAATGAGTGTCAAGCGGATTGGACATAAATTGGCATGCTTTATTCACACTGAAAGTAATATTTGGTCAGGTTAAAGTCACATACTGCAGAGCTCCCACTATGGATTTATAGAGTTGAGGATCAGCAAAGATGTGTTCACCATGTTTACTTAGTTTGCAAGTTGTCAACATTGGTGTAGGGACTCCATTAGCATTAAACATCTTAACCCTGCATAAGATATCTCTGATATATTTAGATTGGGTGAGTAATAGAGAACCATTAGTGAGATGCTTGACTTCAATGCCAAGAAAGTAGTTAGGTTTGCCCAACTTTTTCAGAGCAAATTGTGTGTGCAGTTTGGTGATCAAGTCATGGATCATAGGAGAACTGCAACCAGCGATCAAAATATCATCCACATAAACCAGTATATATAAGGAAATACCTTGTTTGCAGTATGTGAAAGGAGAGCTATCACACCTGGATGTTATAAAACCAAATTGCAGAAGAGCTTGTGCCAACTGCACATACCAGGCCCTGGGAGCCTGTTTTAACCCATATATAGCCTTGTGTAACTTGCAAACTAAGTCTTTGTCAGTACTTACAAAACCTGGGGGTTAAGTCATATAGACTTCCTCATTCAGTTTGCCATTCAAGAAGGCATTATTTACATCAATTTGCCGAATATCCCAATTATAAGTGAGAGCAAGGGTGAGGATGACCCTAATGGTTGTAGGTTTAACCATAGGGGAAAAAGTTTATGTAAAGTCAAACCCTTGTTCCTGATGAAATACTTTGGCAACCAACCTGGCTTTATGTTTGTTAATACTACCATCTGCATTTTATTTTAATTTGAAAACCCACCTACAGCCTACAGCTCTTCTATCAGGTGGTAAGGTAGTAAGGGTCCATGTCTTATTGTTCTGTAATGCATTATACTTACTCTGCATAGCCTGTGCCCAAGAAGGATGAAGTAAAGCTTGTTTATAACTGGTTGGTTCAGACTCAGTTTAGGCAATGAAAGCCTTGGGTTTGGAGTGACCTGTCTTAGCCTTAGTGAGCATATGGTGGTTGTTTCTAATTGGTGACACCACAGGTTGACTACTATGAATGGAAGGGAATTGAGATTATTCAGCAATAGAAATACAAGAGGAAATGGTGAGTTCATTAGAACAGAAGGAAGGGTTTTTAGGAGATGAGACATTGTGATTTGGGGAAACACCCTGCTCAGACTTAGAATGCTGAGCATTATTTTCAATACCAGGTTGAAACACAAATTTGGAGTTGTTAGATAAAGAAGACTCATCAGGAATATTATCCTGTGGACTTAAGGAAGGATTAGAGTCTTGAGCTTTGCCATTATACTTAGGATAATAGAAATTATTGGAGTCAGTATTAATGATTGATGGCATGTGAGAAATTTGATTGGAAGTGTCTTTAATGGGATTAGACTTGTCAAGTTCTTAGTCTGCGCTCTCAGCAGAGTCTTCCGTATCAGTAGTGGGAGCAGATTGAGACACATGAGGATCCTTAGGATGAGACTGATCAATGGAGTTAGGCACAAAAATATTATTATCAAACTGGGGAGTAATAGGTTGTGGTTCTGCTAGAGAAACTTGAGGACCACTGGAATTGACAGGTCTAGTCATAGGTACTGCACTGCTAGCTAGAGGAGGACATTTACTAGAGACTCCTTGAAGATAACTAGAATCAGAAGTTAGCTGAGTACATTCACCAGGAAATAGGTTAGTGAAAGGAAAACTAACCTCATTAAAGGTGACATCCTTAGATATGTAAATTTTTCCATTTGAGCTAAGACATTTATATCCCTTGTGTTGAGGGGATATACCAAGATATACACACTCATAACTTCTAAACTGCATTTTATGTTGGTTATAGGGTCTAAGCAGAGGAAAACTCGAGCAACCGAAAGTTTTGAGAGATTTGTAGTTAGGATGTTTTCCATGTAATGCATGAAATGGTGAAATGGAATCTGACAAGGCTGTGGTAGGTAGTCTATTTATAAGGTGCACATCTGTGGTGAAACTATGATCCCAATAGGAGAGGGGAATAAATGCATGAGACAACATGGTGAGGCCCATTTCCATAATTTGTCTATGTTTTCTTTCTGCACTTCCATTTTGATGAGAAGTGTGGGAACAAGTAAGCTTATGATGTATACCTAACTCAACTAAGTACTTGGTAAATAGTCTATATTCACCTCCAAAATCTGACTGTAAAGATTTCAGAGTGACCTGAAACTGAGTTTGAATGAATTTATGAAAAAGTTTGAAGGCTTGTAAAGCATCAGGTTTCTGTTTCAACAGATATAACCAGGTATAATTTGTGTGCCCATCTACAAATTCTATGTAGTATTTAAAGCCATTCTTAGAGGGAAAGGGTGGGGGACCCCATAAATCAGTATAAATGACATCAAAAGGTTTATCATAGATTGTATCAGTTAAAGGAGCATGAATCTTATGAGCTTTACCAATATTACAAGAAGTATAGAAATAAGAGTTTTGTTTATTAGGAATAGAAATGTTACACAACTTCAGTATTTGAGATACAGATTTAAAGTTGGCATGGCCTAATCTGTGATGCCACATCATGCTCGTATTACATCTATTGCTACTAGAACTATCAGAATTTGAGACTACATAACTATGAATACCAGAAGACAATTGTGGATTTTTATTCAAGCTGAAAGAATTGATGAGATCCAAGGAATGTGTAGAAAAGCAGTATAAGCCCTTGCCATCACTAGTCCCTTCAACAAAGACTTGCTTAGAAGCCTGAAATTTGATGAAACATTTATCAGGCAGAAATTCAAATAGCACATTGTTGTCACTAGAGAAATTAGACACATACAACAAATTTCTCGTAATAGTAGGGGCAAGAAGAACTTCAGATAAGCTTAGTTTGAAGTTAGGCATGAGCTTAGAGTAAAAGTGCAAAGATCCTACAACTTGAATAGAAAGTTTTTTACCATTACCAACATACACTCTATTATTTCCTCTATATGGTTTTTGATTATGTAAAAGATTAGCATAGGGAGTTAAATGGTGAGTGGCACCTGAATCTGCAAACCAGGATTGTGATTCAAATTCAGCAGGAAGGGAGTACTCTTGTGTATAAGCAGCATCATTCTTTGTGGTTGACATCATAGCCATGGCTTGATTGTTGAGAGTTGAGTCTTTAGTAGTACTCTGATTAGTTGTGCCATTGTTTGCTGAGTTGGCCTGATTGTTTGAAGCTTTTGGTGGCTCAAAATTCTCATCGAATCGGTGCCAGCAGGTGTTCACAGCATGTCCATACTTGCCACAGAGTTGGCATGTAGAATGATTTCCAGTCGATGGTTTCCCTCTACCACGACCACGAGCATGGCTGAATTGATTGCCACGACCTCAATTGCCTGAGTAAGCTCCTCTGGAGCCAAGATTTTCTTGATTAGCTTGAGTAATATTTGCTGCAATGGTAGTAGCCGCCAATTCTTGGCGAAACTTCTCTAACTGAGCCTCATGCACATACATAAACTCTTCAACATCACAAAGATTCAGGGGAATAAGACTTCCATACATATGCAACACAAAAGGATTAAACTCCTCAGGTAGTCCTTGAAGAATTGAGTCAATTTTATCTTGTTCCGTTATTGAATCTCACACAGCAAGCAGTGCGTTAGTAATAGCTTTGATGTGCAACACATTACTCAATGATAGTTTTGTTTCCCTTCTTTGTGGATTTGAGTTCAACACGTAATTGTCTCACTCGAGCCTTCATCTGAGCATTGAAATACTGATGTATCTTATCCCATACCTCAAATGCATGCTTGCACGCAAGAACCCTAGGTAACACTGATTCAGAGATGGTAGAAAGCAACTAGACGAAAACAGCTTGATCTTGCATGATACAAGCTTCATCTTCTTCAGAAATCGTACCTTCAAGGAGATCTTGTGCAATTTTGAACTTCAATGGAATCTGCAGATTGACAACGAGCTTATGCATTTTCTCTATGAGAATCAAGCCTTCCACTTGTTGATTCAAGAGTAGATAATTGTTTTCTTGCAGCTTGATTGAGAGTTTGGGACCAAATCCATTGCTGGATTTGGAATAAGCAAAGACAATTATGATATCTTGTGTGTGTGGTACCTTTGATACCAGATTCTTGATTATCTCCATATTCCATGGATGAGAGCTTGAAGCTTCGGATGAAGATACAAGTTTGGATCGGCGGTGGAGAAGATGATGACGCAGCGAAGAATGTTGAGAAATAAGCGTGAGGATCGAACCGCGAATGATACCATACTAGAGATGAGTTTTTGACTCTATTTCACACACTAATCAAGTTAAGAGAGAAAAGGGAAAGATAAAGTGTAAACCATTGATTAACAGATAAGATATACAAGGGAGTATTTATACAAAGTAAAAGAAAAGTACAGTGCAGTTAAACATAATTCTAACTGCCTAACTAACTCATCCACTCAAGTGAACCAAGCTCTAAGCCTTTTCTCTAATACTAACGACTCTTCTTGACTTCTCTTCATTCTCTTTTCTCGAGCTTGCAAGGAACCTACTAATTCTTCAATTAATATGAGTAAAAAAAAACTTTTTCCTCAATAACAGATACCATCTAATCTAACTTGAGTAAAAAAAATATAGAATTGTATATTTTTTTTTAATTTCTAAATATTTTTTCTTTACGCTTTTAAACACTACTTTGAATGTTGTCAATCACCACATTAATCATCATTAAACACTATTGATTACCTCCGATCACTATTTTATAGGAATGACAAAATGAATTGATTGAATGAATTTTTATTTATTTTTATTTTTTGAATAGAGATAACATGAATTAATGGAAAAAGAGATATAAAAGGAGCTGGGATTAGGCCAAAACCCGCTCAAGAAGAAACGTATTCTTTATAAAATCTACCCTCAAAAATTCTGGTAAGTTCATTAACAATCAATTAAATTTTTTTTAAAAATATTTAATTCAATTCATCCATTAACATCATTTTAATTGTTGAATATCGATCCATCTAAAAAATTATTTTAAATATATTCATTTAACTTTTTAAAATATATTTTGTATATAATTTTTTTAAACTTTTCCAAAATAAAATCAATATTTTGTATAATGTAAAAATACTCGATTTTTTTTGTATTTTAGGCAAAAATAGTTTTTTCATATTCCTGAAAAAACATGAATTTTCGTATTTCCAAAAAAGTTGATTTTTCGTTTTAAAAAAAGCGATTTTTTATATTTCGAAAAAAATTGATTTTCATATTTCCGCAAAAAAATTAGATTTTTCGTATTTTGGAAAAAACGTGTTTTTTTTTTGTATTTTCGGAAAAACTCGATTTTTTTTCTATTTCTAAAATAATTGGATTTTTTTTTGTATTTCCAAAAAAAAAACTCAACTTTTCGTATTTAAAAAAACTCGAATTTTTTCGTATTTCCGAGAAACTCGATTTTTTCATGGTATCGAAAATTTTAATTTTTTTTCATATTTTTGAAAAAACTCAATTTTTCGTATTCTTAAAAAATCAATTTTTTGAACTTCTAAAAAAATGATTTATCGTATTTCTAAAATAACTCGATTTTTCGTATTTTCGAAAAAAGAAGGATTTTTTATATTTCTCAAAAAACTCCTTTTTTTATTTTTGGGAAAAAAATTGAATTTATTGTATTTTCTTTTAAAAAAATCAAGTTATTGTACTTTCCAAGAAAAACTATTTTTTTCGTATTTTTGAAATAAATCAATATTTTTTGTTTTTTCAAAAAAATCAATTTCTAATATTTCGGAAAAAAATCAATCTTTTATACTTTCAAAAAAACCAATTCTTGTATTTTCAAAAAAAAAAAAATTTTATTATTTTCAAAAAATAAATAAATTTAATAGATTTAAAGTATATAATGAAATAATTTTTTTGATTATTAAAATATGTTGGATGAATTGAATATATATATATATATATATATATATATATATATATATATATATATATATATATATATATATATATATATATATATATATATATATATATATATATATATATATATATATATATATATATATATAGCCGTACTTCTCCTGTTTGAACTGGGGTTTGAAACGAAACTTTTTCTCAGGAGGATAGATGGGGCGATTCAGGTGAGATCCAATGTAGATCCAACTTTCTATTCACTCGTGGGATCCAGACGGTCCAGGGGGGACCATCATGGCGCCTCTCCTCTCGAGAATTCATACATCCTTATCAGTATATAGACAACTATCTCTCGAGCACAGGTTGAGGTTTGGCCTTAATGGAAAAAGAAAAACGGACACCTAACAACGTATCTTTCCAGACCAAGAACTACGAGATCATCCCTTTTATTTTGGGTTGACGGCGGGATCGTGCCATTCTCTTGACTCGAAATGGAAGCAGGTTTCAAAAAGGATCTTAAAGTGTCCCTCAACGTCTTCCTTTTTCTTCTTATAAGAGTTATTCCACAAAGACTTGTCATGATAAGGAAGAAGGGGGAACAAGCACAATTGGAGAGCGCAATACAATAGATAGTTGTATGTTGCGTTCGGGAAGGATGAATCGCTCCCTAAAAGGAATCCATTTATTATCTCCCAATTGGATGGACCGTAGGTGCGATGATGTACTTCACGGGCGAGGTCTCTGGTTCAAGTCCAGGATGGCCTAGCTGCACCAAGGAAAAGAATAAAAGAAAGACGGATTTGACTCCTTTATGCATGCTCCAACTTGGCTCGGGGGGATATAGCTCAGTTGGTAGAGCTCCGCTCTTGCAATTGGGTCGTTGCGATTATGGGTCGGATGTCTAATTGTCCAGGTGGTAATGATAGTATCTTGTACCTGAACCAGTGGCTAACTTTTTCTAAATAATGGGAAAGAGGACTGAAACATGCCACTGAAATACTCTACTTAGACAAAGATGGGCTATCAAAAACGTAGAGGAGGTAGGATGGGAAGTTGGTCAGATCTAGTATGGATCATACATGGACGGTAGTTGGAGTCAGTGGCTCTCCTAAGGTTTCCTCATCTGAAATCCTGGGGAAGAGGATCAAGCTGGCCCTTGTGAATAACTTGATGCACTATCTCCCTTCAACCCTTTGAGCGAAATTCGGAAAAACAAAAGGAAAGAAAATCCATGGACCGACCCCATCGTCTCCACCCCGTAGGAACTACGAGATCACCCCAAGGACACCTTCGGCATCTAGGGGTCGCTGACCGACCATAGAACCCTGTTCAACCTGAAATGGGATAACTAATGTGTTCTCAGGTTGAACAGTTAAGGGTCAGAGAAGTGCAATTACTCATTCTTAACTTAAAACCTACATTCTTAAGAGCAAAGAGTAGGGAGAAAAAGGGGGGAGAAGCTCTTCGTTTTCGGTTCTCCTGTAGCTGGATCCTCCGATCAAAATTGATAAGGAGTTGGTCAATGATGCTCGAACATGTACTTGTTTTGAGTGCCTATTTATTTTCTATTGGTCTTTAATTTGAATAATGTCCGGAAAAAAGTTATCAAAACCTCTCTTCTCTATCTCTATACTCTCAAAACTATCTGTTAGACGATGGGACGGATCTAGAAGGGGGGGGGGGGGTTGAATAGATCCCTTTGAAAATTTTGCGCTTTTTGTAAAATTGTTTTTATCAGAGAGCGACAGCTCTGAATCTGATCGTCTAAACTTTACGTATTGGAAAGATCGGATATGCGAACCAATTTGATGAAAAAGATGAGAATAGAATCACAACTAAAATTGAATATGATGAATCGCTTTAGCAAGTTTAACAAGGTGTAAGTTATTACGAATTAGTTGCGGAGAAGATAAAGAAAATTTGTGAGTTGTAAATTCACCAAACACTTGGTGTACGTACTACACAAGGTTTGGTTATACTCAAATTATAGTGATTATAGCTATTCAAATGAATGCTATATGAGTTGTAATTTTTAGTTTGTCACTACAATTATTTTGTATGAATGAGAATAATTGATAACTCACAAATTCAAGCAAATAGAAATAAAATGCAGAAAACTAAAATGGACACAGTACTTGTTAAGGTAGTTCCTGTCGTCCTCGCGTGGGCTACTCTGCCCCCAATTCTAGAATCTAGAATTAGGATTATGAAATTAATTTTGCAAAGATTATAAGAGAAGATACAATCACCACAATTCAAAGTCACTTGATGAATATTATATGTTGCACTCCTCTTCCCTTGATTCTAGATGAATCAAGTATGCCAAATCTTGAAAAAAATCTCCTTCTACCTTGAATGACTTTGAACCCTAGAAATTGGCCCCAAATCCTTCTTCACAATCCTCCGGTTACCGCTACCCGATTGAACACCCCACGGTCTTCCAATCCCTTAGCTCGGCTGAATTTAATGAAGCAAAAACTTGTGATAAAAAACCCCATTTTTGGAGGACAAAACCCCAATGGTTTTATTCAAGAAAAAACCCACAAAGATCTCTACCTAAATCTGAAATTGCACTTTTAATTCGGACGTTATCAACACAATCCCAAAAACTTGATCAACAAAAATGATTGTGTGTAGTTATTGATGGTTGATGAGAGGTTGAAGATGAAGAGAGCTCTTGTGTCAATCTTTCACTTTTTCTTGTACTTTTTGGAAAATAGAGGCCCAACAATATATATAAGTGATTCCCATGATGTAACAACATAGCAGAAAAAATGAGACAATTTAGCGATCGGTCGACTCATGCAGGGTGTACAGAAGGTGTGCGCCTTCCCAAGCGAGAGAGGTTGAAATTCCTTCAGACATGCACCGAATCATTGCCTGATGCACCGACTCATGTTTTCCCAGAACTATGCGTTGACGCATAGAGAAGGCGTGCGCCTTCCCGGAAGTAGCCAGGCCAAAATCGTCTTCTCATGAGCCAACCTAAGGTTCCATGAGCCGACTCATGTAGTTTGTTTTGAGAAAAATGCTTGTTTTTTATGTTTCTCACTTGCACCTGTTTGAAGCATGACATATTTGCATAGATAGGTTTTTGACAAGCATTAAAACTCAGTTCTTTCACCTTTGCCCTCACATACTCCCCCTTTTTGATGATGGCAAAAACCGCAAATCGCAAATATGAATCGTCTCAATGGTTACAAATCATCCAATCATCCTCCCCCTGAGATATTGCATATTTCTACTGTGTATTCCTTCTCCCCCTTTGAAGACATCAAAAAGAAACAAGGACATGGATTAAGAGAACCAAAAAAAATTAAATGACCAATATTTTGCAACTTTGCAAAAAGAACACAAACTAACATACACACAATATGAAGCAAGTGCAAACGAAAATAGATGCAATAACCAATAAAGTAATACAATACGATATTCATTGTTACAAACCCAAAATAAAACATAAAGTAGCACGGGAATTAAAATAGTTTAATACAAAACCATAGTAATACAAGCATAACAAGCAAGAAATAAAGTGCCAAGCATTAACTAATGTTGTTGTTCCTCATTGTCTTGTGGTGGTTCAACAGGTTGGTTTGGTGGAAAGTAAGCC